CCCGTTTCCCGGGGGGGGGGGGCGGAGAGCCCCCCCCCCAAAAAAAAAAAAAAAAAAAAAAAAAAAAAACCCAAACGAAACAAAACAAAACAAAACAAAACAAAACAAAAAAACCATGAAGAGATGCCGCAGGGTCTGGAGCAGGGGCAGGTGGGGGCCGGTCCCCGGCTCGGCAGGGGACGTTCAGTTCTTGGGCTCTTCGCCAGCCTCGCCGCCGTCTTCTCCGGCACACTCGGCTGTCCATAGCGTGAGGTTGTCCCTGAGCAGCTGCATGATGAGGGTGCTGTCCTTGTAGGAGTCTTCGCTGAGCGTGTGCAGGTCGCCCATGGCCTCGTCGAAGGTGGTCTTGGCCAGGGAGATGGCCTGCTCGGGGGCGTTGGCGATCTCGTAGTGGAACACCGAGAAGTTGAGGGCCAGCCCCAGGCGGATGGGGTTCGTGGGCTGCATCTCCTTTTTGCTGATGTCCATGGCCTCTTGGTAGGCCTCCTGGGCCTTCTCTATCGTCGACAGCCGGTCGTCCCCGCTGGCCACCTCGGCCAGGTATCGGAAGTAGTCACCCTTCATCTTCAGGTAGAAGACCTTGCTCTCGGTATCGCTGTCCTTCTTGATGAGATACTTGTCCAGCAAGCCCAGGACGTTGTTGCAGACGGCGTTCAGCTCCTGCTCCACCTTCTCCCGGTACTCGTTCACCACCTGAGCTTTGTCGTCGCCCTCTTCGGTTTTGTGCTCGATGCTGGAGATGACCCTCCAGGCCGAGCGCTGGCAGCCCACCACGTTCTTGTAGGCGACCGAGAGGAGGTTGCGCTCCTCGTTGGAGAGCTCGTCCCCGTGCTCCACCACCGCCTTCATGAAGTCTGCCATGTCCTCGTAGCGCTCAGCCTGCTCGGCCAGCTTGGCCTTCTGCACTTGGTGGTTTCTTGCCATGGCTGGGACGCGGGCGCGGGGCGGACGCTTGGGCGAGCAGCGGGGCCGGGAGCCTTCGGAGCCTCTGCCGAGCGCTGCCGCCGGGATTCGCTTTTGGCTGGGCGTCGGAGCCTCGAGCGAGAGCAGGAGGAGCCAGCCAGGTCCAAGGAGTGTCCTCCTCCTCCTCCTCCTCCTCCTCTGCTTCCTCCCCGCCGAGCGCGGCCTTAAAAGGAAACTGGCGGTGAATCACCGGCCGCGGGCGGCGGGCGCTGGGGAGGGGGCGCGGGGGGGAAACGCCCTGCCCTCCCCGTGGGTGCGGCACCCCTGGGTGCCCCCAGGCTCTCCCCAGAGCCAACGCCCACCCCGGCACCCAGGGAACGCCCATCCCGCTGCTGAGAGGCCTTGGAAGGGTGACAGGAGCTGCGCTCTGGTTTGGGGGGCTCGGGGACACGCGGCAGCGCTCGACTCTTCCCCCACCAGCGGAGAAATGGGCCACGGGGTGTGGCCGCTGGTGAAAATGGTTCCTCCCCCCTGAAAAAGCCATATCACTGTCGTTTTTAATATGGTGATTAACTCGGCAGTAATTGCGAGGGCTGGACGGGCAGGTATTTATTCCCACAGGTGGGGAAACCGAGGCACAGGCTCCGCACCTCTCCCAGGCGCCGCGGCAGGGACCGGCCCAAAACGCGGGGCACGGTCAGACCTCGCCCGGTGGGACCCCCCGAACAAACACCCCGCGGTGGGACCCCCAAACACCCCGCGGTGGGACCCCCAAACACCCCGCGGTGGGACGAGCGAGGGGATCCATCCATCCATCCATCCCCACCACCCCCATCCCAGGGCTGCCTTTCCCCGTCCCCATCCCGCCGCCGGCGTTTCGCCTCTCCCGAGCTGTGAAAGAGGCGTTTTAGCGCTCGCTTTTTGTAACTCTGGGCTGCTCGGGGCTGCGATAGGATCTGCGCTGAGTTTCACCCGGAGCCTGTCGGCACACGCCGGGCGCAGCCCCGGCCCCGGCCCGGCCTTATCTCGGTGCGGGAGCGTGCGGGAAGGGCAGGGTGCGGCGGGCGGCTCCGGGCCAAGGCCAAAAGGGGCGTTGTGATTCTTTCAGCGAGCCTGACTCGCTTTGTTCCTCCCTGCCGACACCCGGCCCGGAGCGCCCCGGGATCCCCCCGCGCCCCGCTCAGCTCCCGCTCCGCCCCGGCCGACCCTGCTGGGATGGAGGACGCAGGAAAGACACGAGGATGCTTTTCCCAACCACTTCAAGCCCAGGAAAGCACCCCCAGCCTCCACATCACCATCTCTGCACTCTGGGAAGGGGTTCAGGGCCGTTCACGTTCCCGGCCGAGCCCCTGACAGGCGCTGGGGTTTGGGGGGTCCGGGGTGCCATCGAGGGGCTCCCGTGGCAGCAGCGTGAGGGTCTCCAGCCCCAGGAGCCTCCCCAAGCCCCTCCATGGCCCCCCCAGCGCCGCGGGCAGCAATCGGAGCTCCTTCCCCAGGTGAGCTGGTCCCGCCCCGCGGAGCCGGGAAAGGCTCTTCCCAAAGGAACGGGCGAGCGGGACAGCACGGCCCGGCTTCTCTCCTCTGCCCCGCACACAAGGCAGACCCTTAGAGACCCTCCCAGAACTTCCATCGGGAGCAAAACCCGCCCCTCACAGAGGGATTGGGGCGGAAGGGTCACCGCGATATACCCAGGCTGCCAAAATCCAGCTCCTTCCCTTGGAAAACCGCAGGCAGGAATCCTGGGTGGGTCAAGCCGAGCTCGCACTCCTTCGGGCAGCAAAACCGTGGTTTGGGTTTGGGGTCCGAGTCCCCCGCGCTGGTGAAGGACCTGCCCGGGATGATCCTGCCCACCCTGCACTGGGCTCTTTAACCCGGGATCCCCTTCCCCAGCCAGGACACGAGTGGGGCGCGGGTGGCTCCGGTGTCTGTGGCAGCCGAAGGGGCCGAGCCGCTGCCCAATTTCGGCTGCGGGGATGCTCCGCTCCACCGGCTCCGTGGGAAATCAGCGCTGGGGGAGGGCAGAGCCCCCGCAGGGGCTGTGGGGCTGCACCATCACCCCACAGAGCACCCGTGGGTGCCCCGCATGCAAGGGCAGCAGCAGAAGGTGCATCCCAAAGCATTCTGTGTGGAGAGGCGCACCCAGCTAAGCCAGCCCTGGGGACGCTGCCCGGGCCAGTGCGCGTCTCCAGCCCCGGGAGCCGAGGGCAGGCGTGGGCTGGGCGCTGGCAGGAGGCAGAGGATGCTCGTGGCTATTCCCAGCGGCATTGGAAGGATGCTCAGAGCCCGTCTGGCCACCCTGCCCAGCCCTGCTGCTCCCCCTGGCTGTGGGGACGCCGGAACATCAGCGGACAACGCATTTTTGCGAGGGTGCTCACACTGCCCCGGGTCCTGCGGGCACTGCCCGTTGCTCCTTCCCGGCCCTTCCCCTGCACAGGAGGGCGCAGAACCACGGACGGCTGAGACCGGCCCCAGATTGTGCCGCAGCCCAGTTTGGGAAACTCCGGGCTCCCATCTCCACGGCTGATGATGGCAAAGCGGTGCCAGCCCTCGGTGACTTCCCTCGGCTCCCTGCTCGGGCCTGCCCAGGCAGGAGCCGCTCCCCTCCACCAGAGCAGAGCCAGACACCGGAGTACAGGAAATAGGAGAAACTTTCATTTTGTTACAAAAGTAAAAGGCATAAACAGATGGTGAATCCTACAGGGCTGGGGCAGGCCTGGCTGCTCCACTCAGCTCCAGGGGAGGCTGCTCAAGGTGCTGGAACCCCTTCCCCTAAAACCAGAGCCATGCTGGGATGAGCCGGCCCGGGGGGCTGCAGGGATGAACTGACCGGGTACAAATTCCCATCGGGAAAGTCCTGTGGCACACGGACACGGCTCTGGGGGCTGGTGCCCCTGGTTTGGCTGTAAATGCCCTGGCGTGGTCCTGCTCCTTCCAAAATCCCGTTGGGACGCCAAGCACGGCATTGCAGCGTGTGGGGAGACACCGCCACGGAGCGTCCGGCTGCCGGCCACGGGCAGCCCCCGGCGGCCTCGGGCTCCGTCCGGCGGTGGGAGGCAGCGGGAGCCGCGGTTATTGCAGGTGTTGCTCCTCCTTGGCGTGGCTCTATGGCTTCGGCTCCCGGAGCGGGGCTGCAGAGGCTTTTCCTCCCCGGGGAGGGAGGCACTCGAGGTGGTCATGGCTGTGGGCTCGGCTCCCGTGGGATGCACGGGAGGCACGGGCTGCTGGAGCCCGCGCTGAGGGAGAGGAGAGGGGAGGAAGAGAAAGAGTTAGAGCCAGAAACAGGAGCCGAGGAGCAGCGGAGCGGGGCAGAGCAGCCGGGATCGCTGGCTCAGTGGGACCGGGCTGGCTCGGGGCACCAAGGGGCTCCGAGGCCCAGGGAGCTCTTGGGGTGCTGCAGGGACGGGGGCAGAGGGACACGATTCGCAGCCCAAAGGTGACACAGGTGATTACAACATGCCCTGAAGGAACTTACCTTGGTCACAGGAGGTGGAACCGGGTGCTGAAGAGAGGAAAACGGGCAGAGGGATCCCCTAAGCCACAGAACGGGTCAGGGATGGGAGAACAGACCTGCCCCAGGGGCCGCTGCTCCCCCCAAACACCCCATCTCTCCTTGGCTGGGCTCTCCTCACACAAGCCCCAGGCTGCAGACCCCTCTGCCGTGCCCACAATGTCCCACACGTGTCCCCAGCCCAAAGCCAGGGCAGCCAAAGCCATCCTCTTCTGGCACAGCCTTCAGGTGACCCCTGACGCTCCCAGCCCCGCAGCGCTGCCCCCGTGGGTCCTGCGGGGATGGATGGGGCTCGTGGGTGCCAGCACAGGGTGATGGCTCTGAGGCCAGAGCTGTCATGCAGGAGACACAGATGGGTGGCTTTGAGTGGGTGAGAGGGAGAAGGAAGCACTTTCTTACCAGGCAGCCCTCAGAAATCAGGGCAAACGTCCGAGGAGGGGCAAGTCCCGTCAGGCTGTGCAGGAAATGGCAAAGTCCTGGCAGGCATCCTCCTGGGGAAGACACCAGAGGTTATGCACCTCACACCTGCCACGGGGCCAGAGCGGCTGGCACAGGTCCCAGCTGGGGAAGGGACACTGAGGTGACAACAGTGGGGAGGGGATGAGCCCCTGCCCAGCCTGGAAATGTGGGACAGCAAATTCCCTCCACTCCAGCAGGAGTCACGCTGCTCCTCCCTCGAAGCAGGAGTTTCCAGGTGAGGCCTGAGCCTGACCAGGTCCAAGTGGCACCTGAGAGATGCCAAACACCAGGACACACCTGCCCTCTTCTATCTTCAAGGAGGAAAATAATCATCCAAGCAGTTAACTCTTTAAAAATAGAATTTTATTGAGTAACAAAGGAAACTGGTTTAAATAAAAACAGGAAGGAGTCTGGCCCCTGGTAAGCCCCCTCCTCACTGCTCCTCTGCCATCCCCCTGGCACAGGCACTTGCAGAGTGCAAAGCACGATGCTGGTGAACTCAGGGGGGCTGGGATGCCCCCCAGAATGTGCTGCCCCTGCCCGAGGTTGAAACTGGTCTGTCTGATCCAAGGAAACCTGACAGGCAGCTCGGCACTGTGAGCCTCTGCCCTGGTGCCAACGTGCACAGCGCTCCCCACGCAGGACAGAAACGTTCTACCGAGAAAAAAGTCCTACAAATTGTGCAAAAATATCCAGCAGCTTCTAATAACACGATTCAAGTATTGCTACAAGGTTTGTGACTCTCCCTTCAGCCCAGGGACACAGAGCTGGCTGCCTGGGTGCAGAGTGGTGCTCATGGATGGGCAGCTGGAACAGCTCCCAGGGCACTGGGGACAGCCCTGGGGACAGCCCTGGGGACACTCTGCTGCTCAGCAGCCCAAACCAGGAGCACACCATGAGCAGCAGGGAGCAGCACCCCTCACTGCTTCCTCTGCAAACTCCAGCTGGGAAGGGTGTGACCCTCAGGAATTCACACACTTTTCTGTTGCCTTTTGGTCTCCCACAGACACAATCCTGGGAAGCTCCAGTTCCAAAACCTCACCCCTGCAGCCTTGTGGTCTGCATGTCATGAGAGTCACAGAGCAGAATGTTTCTTCTTCCCTGTTAGAGGGTCCAGGAGTCGTGTCCCGGCCGCAAAAC